GCCTGTATATTTGAAAAATAAATAACTAATTGTTTTTGAATAATTACCATAGCCGATGTCAAGAATCCAATGGCAAAACACAGATGATGTGCAGCTCCAACGAGTGTCTCATCGACACGTACATTTTAGATACGCTAAGGCACCAAGCACACCGGTTTGGATGGTCGGCTGGCAATTACAGCGAATTTTGGGGCAGACGATACGACGAGGGACTACAATTGCGGCTTGGTACACTGCATTCCAAGAGAAAGGTGTGTGTAACACATCGAGTCGTACTTAGAATGTTGCACTTAAGTTTGTACCCGATGTAATAACAACTTGATGAATCATAATATTTTATGATATATTTAAATAGACGCGTTCTCAAATTCGTATATTTGTGCCTTAATAGTACCTATTAATACTTATAAACAAATTTATGRCGACACMAATAATTAACGCAATTCTTATTTAATACGGAATTATTTATTTTGGCGTTTATTGCATTATGTACCGAATCTTGATAGAATTTAATCGAGATACGTTTTTATATACCATCAGAGAATTTGATTAGGTTTCTCTCCTTTATTTTGAATTGTGTAGAACAAAAAATCAAGGACTGAAAATATTTTTGATTTATCAGATATTAATAATAATACTTAAATACTTTACTGAACATCTGAACATAGTTTCAATAGATATTTGATAGATTTTTGTTTTTTAAATTATAGATCTGGCCTAGAAATGATTATATCGAAGCAAGGAATCAAATGTACAATTACACGCATCCATGTATGATTGAACATTTTTTTTCTGTAATTTTATTTAACATTTACGACGAATTTAAATGTTAAATGCCTAAAAAATGTTTCGGGTGATCCCAAAATAAAAATTAACTTTTCAAAATTTTAAAAAATGATAACATTCATAATTTATGTAAATTACGAAATATCAGTAAGTTTGTTGGATGCGGTGCACTATAAATATGGAAATTATTATGGGGGAAATGGGTTAACCTATAACTAAAGTACCCTTTTTTTAAAGTACATTATAGTCATCCTATTAAATTACACGCTGTTTGCTTTTATACATTTCTCRTATAGAATATTATATTATAATGTTTCATTAGTGACGCGAATGAAATATTTTAAATTGTAATATACTGTTCAGATTTTGCAAATGAAGCCATTGAAAGCCGCTTTCCAACGGGGCAAATTACGGCGGTCTTACGACTCACGCGAAGTCTGGGGAAAATACATCTCTCAACCAATCGATCAAGGCTGGTGCGGTGCATCCTGGGCCATAACCACGGTCCAAGTGACCACCGACCGTTTCGGAATCATGAGCAAACGCGCGATCAGCGACGTATTGTCGCCTCAACACCTGTTGTCGTGCAATAATCTTAACCAGCAAGGGTGTCAAGGCGGCCATTTGACCAGAGCGTGGAATTGGATCAGGAAGTTTGGGTGAGTTCGAAACACTATGTGCGATCAAACAATTCTGGATTAAACGGGAAACCGGGGGTGGTAAGCTTAACCCGTCGACAGCTTAAAAGTGGTAGTTTATAGAGTGAAAATATTAAAACATTTGACAATTTTTATTTTTATTTTGCAAACTTATACTTAATTTAATATAATATAGAAATTAAATTTTGGTTTGTTATTATTTTAAATGTACTTCATATGGTCGATGTATCTATAATATGTACCTTATACATACTTTTAGTATTTGTGTATTTATTTTTAATTATTTGTTCTATTTTAGCATTTTATTTTAAATTTGACAACCATAATATAATTTACACTAATAACACACAATTTTGGTTCTTCACCCATTTTACACAATTTTCAAATCTTCCATAAGAAGGGAGTACCTATATTATACACTTTTTTTCCATCAAAATATGGATCATAATGGAGTATAACAGGATCTCTAGAGGAGTTAATTTGGTTTTGGTTGGGCGTAATATAATATGACGTATGAATCGAATTAATTTCATTGTTTTCAATAAAACATGATTATGTTYCACAGACTGATCACAGAGGAATGTTACCCTTGGGAAGGCCGAATGTCCACGTGTGCGGTACCAAAAAAGAAGAAAGAGACAATGGCGCAGTGTCCGAATCGCGTGAGGTCCAATAACGATCGTCTGACCAAAACTCGACTGCACCGGGTCGGTCCAGTTTACCGGGTGGCAACAGAGGAAGGTATCATGCACGAGATTTTGACTTCAGGACCAGTCCAAGGTACCAATGTCTAACTAGGCGTACAGCTTATTTGTAAATTATTATGATTGTGGTAACACGTATACAGAGTTAACAATTATTATGACAGTGGTAACACATACAGAGCTTACAATTATTATTGATATCAAAATCATAAGGTATGATTAATTTTTTTATGGAGGAAGGAATCAATAAAATATTTTACCCAATCAGCACCTAATTTTGTACACGTTCAGCTTCGTTTTTTAAAATCTAWAWGGTAATAATAGATGTAAATGATGTAATTCACATAGGAATTCAATTTTAGCTCACGAAAATCGAATATATTGTTTATAAATTTATAATAATTTATGATATAGAATAGGTTTGCGTTGGTTGCCATTGGTTGTTGAAATAAAAGAGACGGTCGCTCGTCAGAAATAAAAAGTGAACTTATAAAATGAAGTTTGAAAGACAGATCTGTTCGATTATATTACATAGAAGGATGGTAAAATTTGATTGTGCARGGCAAGGAAATTCTTAAAAAAATTTTGAATATCTTAATCATAATAAHGAGGTCTATAAAACTTTATTGTATATATTGCAGTATTATAGATTATCCTATACACATTATGCATACKATAATATTTTATTTTAGGTGTCCGTGGTTCTTTTGTGTGCAAACTCTGTCAAGGTTCGAATAAGTATAGTAGTCTGTAATTACTTGTACCTTAATACACATTAGTAGACCTGCGCACTTTACRACCTTCACAATTTGAAACACGCCTAGGCCAGATTTTAACTTTATCTTTCTTTCTCCGGATTATTTGTGTATTCTATTAACTTAACGCTGACTTAAAGTGATGCCTTGGACTACCGGTTATATCTTACTTATTGATGGCCGTCGTAAACTATGAATGAATTTCATACGTGCCAATTATAAACCTAGCCTATACGACATACGAAACCTATTAATAATTTTCGTTTTTGCGCGAAATATTGAAGCATGATCTCACTTYGTACAAACTAGCTGGACAGTACGGCTGCAAATGTACCAGCTTTTATGAAATAGAATAAAAACGTGTATGTATTAGCAGTATTAGCACATAATATATTATTATATTGATCGAGCATCGTGAGTAAACTCTAGACAATCTTTGCAAATATTGTCTGGTTTTAATAATTTGTGCAGCAAAGGTGAACACGTAGGTGCGCAAGACAATACAGTTCCAACTCGTGTTTGTTTCAGTGACAATACRAGTTTTACAACAATAAAGCTCTTAGGCAATACGATTTTTAAGACAATTACTGTTTGACAATAAAACCGTATTTCAATACGACACAATGACAAATGTGCACAATGGTATTGGCAGTTTTCTAATTTAAAAATCAAATTTTTCGTATTCATATCGGCTTTCAGAATCCTACAAGCAATGGGTACTATAGGTACCCGTACGACTCGTATAAATATGTGTTACTGATTTTTCGACGAGAACAAAGTATACTCCTCATTTGTGTCTTACGCATCATATCAAAAATTCATTCCATATTTACGCAATTTGTCATTTAGTAATTATAATAATTATATCCACATAATGTACTAACTATATCATGGTTTAAAAACATTGAACTTATAGTAAATTATTGATATACATACTACATAKGTATTTAAAGATATTATATGAGCAGTGTAGTGTGCAAAACATTTCAAGAGCATCATAGTTATATACTGTCACTCCACTTCTCTTATCTATACTGCCTACAGACGATTATAAACAATAATCTTCATACTGTATAGTATGTATAGTAACTTAATATGTACTTCGATCGATACATTCGCTAGCATTAATTTCAAACAAAAATTAACTAAAAAAAAACATACCATATAACTTATTAATTTATTTGTGATACAACAAACAATCGTTTACCTTGTGTTTGATTCCTATTAGCTACGAATATTATTTGTTCAGCTTTGAAAATACTATATTGATTAAAACTTTAGACATTTTTTTAAACTGTTTATTATTTACTCTCGGTATCATTTAAATTAATTTCGACACAA